AGGGCGTGATCCTGGGAGTTGCTTGGTGTTCTTTACTCCCAGAGACTTCACGGGAGCTAGGAGGGAACTCAGCACCTTACAGGATGGGACCCAAACACAGATGTTCTCCTTTCAATACAGCAGTTAGATCCAGCCACTGCAGGTATAATACCAAGAATTTCTATCCTCAGTTAGGCTGGAGACTGAAACCCTTCTGTTGGGCTGAAAATCCCCAACTGAACTCCTACTTCTCACAGAAGCTTGTGGCTTTCTGCAGAGCATTACAGAGCAAATGTAGCCAAGGTAAACATGCCAGAGCCTGAGAGCTGTAATAATTACAAACATAAATAGAGGGCTTTGCCTAGCCTAGCTCACCTCAGTGGCATGAGATGAATTACAGAGCATCTCCCCACAGCTGTTCTCTTGAGGTATTGCCCACATAAAGGAGTGATCAGCAGCTCAGTCCCATGGCTGGGGATGGAATGCTGTTCACTTTCCCCTCAGCTGCTGTGACTTTATTGAGAAGTCAGTGGACAGGCACGGAGAGAGAGAAGCTAGAACGGGGTGGGAAGAAGTGGTCCTTTATCTTTTGAATCCATCAACAACTAGGTTTACTAGGAAAAGAAAAAAAGAGCAAATAAGTGAGCCCAAAATTCCCAATAGCCCCGTGGTTCAGGCCCTTACTTGAGTTATCAGAGATCCATGTTCAAGTCCTTGATCTGCCTGAGTCTGAAAAACAACTAGCTTTATGTCCAAAATGTAAATTTTTATAACCCAAAGGACTTTACAAAACATAATCCTGTAACAAATCCACAGCCACTTAGGATGTCATGGTTGTCACTATGCTGCAGAGCTTGGGCATTAGGAACTTGATGGTGGCAATGGGTATAGAACTCAACCTCTGCCACATGAGCAGAAATAGACTCTCACATAGCTCTGGACAATATAGGGCTAATGACTCAAAGTTGAACAGTTCTGATTTCACTCTGAAGGGGGCACTGGCACAGGCAGGCACACACACACACACAGCAATACATTACAGTGTAACCAGAAATATTATTTTCCTCCCTCTGTTAAATAAAAAGTGTTTTTGTTTAAAACATTCCCATGCAGTACTGGAAATCTGACCCAGTAGGCTTGTGCTATCATCTGGGAACCGGAAAGCAAACCAGACATAAGCATAAATAAATTATAGTATTGCCAACCCCAACAGGGCAAAAATCATGAGTCAGACCCCCAAAATCATTATATATTGTGGAGATGCTGGACGCTCTGTACCATCGAGCAGCCAGTGAGAGCCCCTGCACCGGGGACCAGAGTCACCTCAGTCAGTACATCTGGGAGTGTTGGCAATGCTAATTGTCCTCCCCACGTCTGCTTGTCCCACCTCCCAACAATTAATGAAGCATCCCCCAGAGCTCCCACATCAGTTCTGCCCCCACCCCCACCTCCCTCTACTCCTCTGGCAGCTCCTGGGGTTCTTCACTTCCACCTTCTGTCCTGTGACTGGGAAGCCAGCTGCAGCAGGGTCCTCTTTCCCTTCCCAGGCCTAAGGGGGAGGGGCATTTAGGGGCTTCATCCCCTCCCCCTTCCCAGGCCTGGTGTTGCAGGGATGGAGAGGAGAGTGGGGAGGAGCAGGAAGCAGACTGACCCATTGTGCACAGTAGGGAAGGAGGAAGCACAGCTATTCTGAATTGCTGGGGGCTCTCTCTGATCCCTCCTCCCTTCCCATAAGAATGATGTCTACTGCTCCCTCTCCCCTACCCCAAAACTCCTCTCTTCTCCTGAAGGGAGAGAGTGAGACTCCTGCCTGCCTCCTGAAGCAGCCCTAATTGTGTGTTCTTCCTCAGGGGGTGGGCATGGGGAAGACAACCAGGGGTTCCTCCTACCCACCTCAGGCAGGGCTGAAATTCATGGGAGACTGTCACCAGCCCTGTATGAAATCACATTAGTCACAAAGAAATGGTGAGAGTTGGCAACACTGTCAGTAAAAATCTCTGTTTTAATCATTCAATAACTCAGGGAAGAGCTTTATAACAAAGGAGCTGCATGTTAGTGGCCTCTGAGCCTCGAACAGTTCAGGCAACTGAAAGGGGCGAGTCGTCATTTGCCAAGGTCTCAGGATGTTTTGCATCCAACTGAATGCAATTTTAAAAAACAAATTGTGGCAAAGTTAGCTTATGATATGCTACATCTTAAACAGAAGTTATGGGCTTGATGCTGAAATTACTGGGTCCTGTTCTTTGGCCTGTGTTATGCAGGGGGTCAGATTAAATTATCATAATAATAAGATCATAGTCGTCGCTTCTGGCCTTATAATCTACCAAATAGTTTTAAATAAAATTGACTTTTGTTTCACCTTTTTTTTGTTTTATTAGCTCTTTCATATTCTACCTTGGAGACTTTCAAAACCCTTCCTCCCCCTGAATAGTTCCTCATATACCCAACCCCCAAAGATTTCCCTTTCCTTCTTACCCTTCCGTGGGAAAGGAAAGAGGCCTGTATTCCTGAAGCCCTCTCCACTGCAAATGTCTAAAACAGGGATTGGCAACTTTTGGCAAGTGGCCCGCCAGGGTAAGCCCCTGGCAGGCCAGGCCGGTTTGTTTAGCTGCCGCGTCTGCAGGTTTGGCCAATCGCGGCTCCCACTGGCCACGGTTCGCCGTTCCAGGCCAATAGGGGCTGCAAGAAGCCGTGGCCAGCACATCTCTCGGCCCGCGCCGCTTCCAGCAGCCCCCATTGGTCTGGGGCGGCGAACCGCGGCCAGTGGGAGCCACCGTGATCGGCCAACCTGTGGACGTGGCAGGTAAACAAACCAGCCTGGCCTGCCAGGGTGCTTACCCTGGCGGGCTGCGTGCCGAAGGTTGCCCATCCCTGTTCTAGCCGTTGGATCTTGTTATACCTTTTTCTACTAGATTGAAGAGTCCATTATTAAACATTTGTTCTGCATGTAGAAACTTAGAGACTGTGATCAAGTCACCCTTTAACTTTCTCATTGTTAAGCTAAATAGATTGAGTTATTTGAGTCTATCACTATAAGGCATGTTTTCTAATCCTTTAAGCATTCTTGTAGCCTCTCTCTGAACCCTCTCCAATTTATCAACATTTTTCTTGAATTGTTGATCCCAGAACTTGATACAATATTTCAGCAGCAGTTGCACCAGTGCCAGATACAGAGGTAAAATAACCTTTCTACTCTTATTTGAGATTCCCCTGTTTATGCCTTCCAGGACTGCATTAGCCCTTTTGGTCACAGTATTGCACTGGGAGCTCATGCTTAGCTGATTTTCTACCACAACCCTTAAATCAGGGGTTCTCAGACTTTTGTACCGGTGACTCCTTTCACACAGCAAGCCTCTGAATGCGACCCCCCTTGTACATTAAAAACACTTTTTTATATATTTAACACCATTATAAATGCTGGATACAAAGCGGGATTTGGGATGGAGGTTGACAGCTCATGACTCCCCATGTAATAACCTTGCGACCCCCTGTGGGGTCCTGACCCCCAATTTGAGAACCCCTGCCTTAAATCTTTTTCAGAGTCACTACTTCCCAGGATAGAGTCCCCTCATCCAGTAAGTATGGCCTTTGTTCCTAGATGTATATGCTTACATTTAACCATATTAAACTGCATATTGGTTGCTTGAATCTAGCTTAGAAGTGATTCAGATCTCTCTGTATCAATGACTTGTCCTCTTCATTATTTACAACTTCCCCAATTTTTGTTTCATCTGCAACCTTTATCATTGATAATTTTATGTTTCTTCCAGGTCATTAATAAAAATGTTAAATAGCATAGGGCCAAGAACTAAACCCTGCAGAGTCCCACTAGAACACGCTCATTCGATGACGATTCCCCATTTACAATTACGTTTTGACACCTTTCAGTTAGCCAGCTTTTAATCCATTGAACGTGTGCCATGTTAATTTTATTTTGTTCTAGGTTTTTTATCAAAATGTCAAGCAATAGCAAGTCAAATGCCTTATCAAAGTCTATTACATCAACACCATTACCTTTAGCAGCCAAACTAGTAATCTCATAAAAAAATAGACTTATCCAAGGTCACACAGGAAATCTGTGACAGAGCTAGCAACAGTTTAACCTCAACCTCTCACTCTCTTCCCTCTCTATTCTCACATGCAGATATGGAATATTTTGATAATGAAGACAAGCAGCTACTTCAGAAAGAGTAAATATCTTCATTGTATTGGTAACACAGATGTCTTGTGTTACTTCTTCTGAGAAGTATAGAACTAATAACAAGAACTCCCAAATTCTCCCCTTTGCTCATTGAGACAATGAAATAAAACAGTGGCAAGGTATGGGGCAGCCAGTCATTTTACCAGCAAGTTACATCTTCACAAATATTACTTAAAGTTTAAAACCATGTTGTGTCTCATTATACATTGCCAACCCGCTATTCCTTTGCAGGACAATTTGCCAAAGGTTTGTCCAGCTGCTGTAGGCTGAAACCAGGCCCTTATTGACAAAGACCAACACAAATAAATGGCTTCCCTCTGCCAGAGTTCAAACAAACAAATGGAATAAGGCTTCCAGCAGCTAGAATCTTCAAGATTAAGCACACCTTCTGCACTCTGAACCTTTCAGTGCTCTCTTATCCAGAGCCAGGCTGCTTCCTTTCCATTCAACTCCTGTAATACCATCCCCAGCCCCATTTACGGAAAAGAAAGAAAGAAAGAAAGAATGAAAGAAAGAATAAATCAGCTTGTGCAAGCTTGGTAGCTTGTGAAAAAGCTCTTGAATCCCATCCAGTTAACTAGAGATAGGCCTGAGCCAAGCACACCTGAACTTTGAGGACATTTGGATATGCATCTGAATTTAATGGCTCACTCCCATCTCTATAGTGGGCCAAACCAAAACTGTAGATCCAAATGGTGGTGAAGTTTGTTCTGGTTCTGGAGCCAAACTCTATCCTTCAGTTCTGAACAGATCCAAACCAGGTGAGTTTGGTTGAGACTGTGAAGAGACAGAAACACGTAAGAAGTGCTGTTTGTCTTACCAGCTGAGTCTGCTGCAGAAGCCCCACCACTGGTCAGATCCTCAGTATTTATCGACTGCAAATCTGTGTAGGAGGGGGTGTCCTCTGAGTTGGTCGTCCAGCTGCTCTCTGAGGCAAGGGGTTGTCTCTCAGAATAATCTGAGGAGGGAGAAGTCCAGCAGGGTGCTTTTGATGGAAGGGCTGGATGTGTGAAACAAACAGAAATTTAGTGAGCTGGATGACACAGAGTTGCAGGAGGGCAGATTTGAGGGGGGAGGGAAACATGAGTGGCACTAAAGATCTTCGGGATAGAGGAGCATGACAGCCCAGTGATTCATTAGCATAGGAGGGGAAGGCTTTGTAACAGCACATTATAACTCATTAACCTTTTTAACCTCTGGAGAGCCATGTTCAATTCCTGGTTTAGGTCACAATTGTCAGCCTGGACTTCATTTGTTCATATGACATGGCTTGGTATAATTCAGCCTGACTGACTGGCTCTGCCTGGGAGACAAGCAGGAGTAGAATAACAAGAAGTCAAGAGTGAGGTGCACTGGCAGAAGAAGGTGCCCAGGACTGGAATAGCAGGGAATGCTGCAGATCAGGATTGTGTTACCCTGGCATAGCTCTTGTGGGGAAGCTTGTAGTAGGCCTGGCTCTATAAGTCCCTGGCTTTCCTTTCCCTCATTGTTTTTAAAATTAAAAGAGACTTGTCAGTTTTAAAAAGGTAAAACTTCCCAAAGTGTGACACTAACATGGGGAGTTGAACCTGTGATTAACCATAAACCTCAGGCTCACGAATTCTGACATTATTATTGGCCACTATCATGACTATTTAACTAACAGAAAAAAATGGGTCTGCACTGATATAGTTTTAAACTATGATTATGCTTTGGCCACAGCCTAGCTTTCTTTCCTCAGGGTCTATTGTTTCATGTGCCCAGAAATGAGACCTAGAGGGCCAAATCCTGGTCTCACTCCATCAGACACGAAGATACATGAGCTGAACAATTCTTTAGCTTCAGTGTAGTTCCTTGCCTTTTGCTGAAATGCTGCTTCGTAATTTCTTACTGGAGGCCTGCATCACAGCAAATATCCCTACATGGAATCATAGAATCATGGAAATGTAGGGCTGGAAGGGTCTCTTGCCAATTTGTCCACATCTTTCCTGAAGTGTTGTGCTCTGAACTGTACACAGCACTCCAGCTGAGGCCTCACCAGTGCAGAATAGAGCATGACAATTACCTCCCGTGTCTTACATACAACACTTTTGTTAGTATACCCCAGAACGACATTAGCCTTATTCTTAACTGCATCACACTGTTGATTCATATTCAATTTGTGATCTACTATAACCCCAAGATCCTTTTCAGCAGTACTACTACCTAGCCAGTTATTCCCAATTTTGTAGTTGTGCATTTGACTTCTCCTTCCTAAGTGAAGTACTTCGCACTTCATTGAATTTCATTTTGTTTAATTCAGACCAATTCTCCAATTTGTCATGGTCATTTTGATTTCTAATCTGTCCTCCAGAGTGCTTGCAACCCCTTCCAGCTCAGTGTCATCTGCAAATTTTATAAGCATACTCTCCACTCCATTATCCAAGTCATTAATGAAAATATTGAATAGTATCAGAACCAGGACTGACCCCTGCAAACCCCACTAGCTACGCCCTCTCAGTTTGACAATGAACCATGACATCTGCTACAATAAGAACAGCACCTGGTTAACACCATGACTGGCACTTTATTAACACGTAGATAGAGTTACATGAGAAGCAGGAAAATAGTGACTATCTGCCCCCTTTCTCTAGCAAGGAAGACCGCAACTATTGCAAAGATATGCTAAATCAGAGTACTGATCCTTCATAAACATAGCTCCCATTTCCTCAGATGTCAGAGTTACATAGTTATTTTTATAATACCTATTGCGATTCAATTAGCTATATGTGTGTCATTAGTGCCTTCTGCTGGATGGAATCAGAATTGCTCAACTGTGTGTCACAGATCTTATACTGCTGAGGGCTAGAGGAGATTCTCCTGTAGATCAAGCAATTGGGCGCTGTGATTTTGGTGCAGGAGGATCCAAACCAAGTTCTATTCCTGCTGTTGCTGGTAAGTTCTGAGTGTCCATGTCATATAACAGTGCAGTTCCTACACGGCCAATTTTATATAATTAACCAGTCTCCTTCAGTGCTGCCCACTCAAAAGCACCAGCCAGATTAGGCTAGTGCACCATGAAAATTACACAGATTATAAAAATAAAATTAAACTGACCTGATGATACAACCCAGAAATAGCCCATATTCCCGATCTGGTTCAGATGCAGCCCCAGATAGTAGAGGTATCACAATCTCAGCTGATTGCACTAGATTTTTGCTCATTTGGGGTCAACTTGTATCAGCTTGCCAGATTTCAGTGCCAAATACTAGCCCCAACCTAAACCTGATCTAGAGATGACTGCATCCTCATTAACTCATCTTTAGTGAAAATGCATTGTACATGTTTTGTTTTGTCCACAGTACTGTTAGAGCAGTTAGAGCAATAGGACATAGACAGTTTTAATCTAAATCTGATTTGTGGGGTATGGAGAACCTCCAAATTCATACAAGCCTAGAGCTGCACCTGAAAGAGATAACGAGAATGCTGAGAGAAACTTGACTCAAGGTATAGAGATTCATTAGCAATGTACATAACTATGAATGCTAATGCTTATTTTTGTATTGCATGGGTATCCACACAGAACAAGCTTCTCTAAATCCTGACCTGCATACTTTGGGCTTGGCATAAAATGTGCTCTAAATTCCCTGGGGTATGATTCTTTTATTTGGTTGTTCCAAAGACATCATCAAGAATATGGAGAGGATGCCCTCAGAATATTGCATACTTCTCCAGGGAGAGAGATTGACACAGAAGATGCGTCTTTACTTACAACGGAACTGAATACTTTGGCCTAGGACAGTCCATCTTTCATCAGCTCAGAAAGTTTTCTTTACTGCATTATATTCTCATTTCTCAATTAGGATCACCTATTGCTTCTGATTTTAATCTTAATCTTGGCCCAGCTGCTGCTTTTCAAGTTATTACATCTATATTTATTACATAGAGAAGATAAAAGGCTGACAGTAGCATGTTGGCTATAACCCCAACTGCTAATCAATATGAAATTTAGGATACCCTAATTCCTACATTTAGGAATTTGTTGTGTAATCTCTGAACCATAGGTTATGCCCTCATCCCATAGTGTACATTCAGCTCTCATTAGATTCCATTCATTTGCTGGCATGTTGGAAGATATGGCAAAGGAGGATCTATCTGTATATTTCTAGTTTCCAGAAGATTAGTCATAATGGGTACGCTGGGACTGAATCTCATGAAGAGAATACATCCTGAGGCATATATAGATAAACTATCCAAACTGTGCCACAACCTCATCATTTTAAGGGTGCATCTATATCTATATCTACACCATTGCCCTCTAGTGGACAGACTCCAATCTACTTGTGTGTATGCAAGTCTGGGCTACTAGACTGGTACCCGACTGGATCAAGATCAGTGGTCGTGGAGCCGTGTGTCAGGAGGTCTATTCCCCATTGCACATGACTGGCTGACAAGCATAGTGTAAATTACATCGCAACAAAATCATTGCAGATGTGCGATTGCTAAATCTGCTTGGCTAATGGGTAGAGATGAAGCCTTTTAAAATGGGAAGCTGCTCAGAAAAGAAAGGTGAGAAGCGTATGGTTATAAGCTCTGAGTTCCCTTAGCAATTGAGTTAGACATGGCATGAAATGTCTAGGAAGCCAGACTTGAAACTTTATCTAAAATTATTTCGACACACACAACAATGTCAGTCAGTCATAGCAGACAGGCTTTTAGGAGTGGTCTCCATAGGTTGCCTGGACAACTGACATGAAAGGAGCTTTGCTAAGTGTAGTTTGTACATTGATCTTAGAAAATGACTTATTTTATTAAAATACCTTAGAGATAAATCAACAGTAAAAAAAAGGATTCAGATATTAAATGCATTAATTTTGATTAATGTAGAAAGATGCATCATTAAATAATTCAAGTGTGGCCCACTTGTTACATTCAGGACTTGTCTAAACAGGGAAATTGACCAGAATAGTTATTGAGGAATAAGCTATTCCACAACAGCTATTTCAGAATCCTTCCTATGTGAACAAAGTGATTTTATTGCAAAATAATTACTTTTCTTAGGAAGCACACTAATTGTTCTAGAATAAAGCAACTTTTATTCCAGAATAGTGGCCACATGGGGAGTTATTCCAAAATAGCCATTGCAAAATAGCTTATTCCTCTATAGTTATTCTTGTCAATTTCCCCATGCAGATGAGCCCTTCGTCTGGTCCCTCACTATTACAACTTAGAACCCAACGGGGCATACGTTATTTTAGCTAATGATTCACACTAGACTACATGGGTTAAACATCAGTTCAAACAACTATTATGTATTGATCTGAAAATACAAACATGTTTAGCTTTTCACTTCAGAGGTTTCAACTTGTTTCAACTTCTCTACGGACAGTCCTGCTGCTCTCACGCTTCTCATAATCACTGACATAGGGCTCCAAAATGAGCCAGTCTTTCCTTGAAATCAGACTTTTAATGTCATGAGGTGTAATGCTGAGATCTGTCAGCTGTGCGAATTCTCAGCAATTTGCTTGTGTTGCAAGGCAATTGACAGAATTGCCCCAATAATGCACTTCATCCTGTATCACGCCTAGGGTACTGACAGTCCATTATTTCTGCACTCAGAGACTTAGATTTTTTTTCCTGGTATGTATATTCTATCTTGGTTTCCCAAGGCACCTTTCTTAGTAAATTGAGTTTTTTTTTTTACAAGCAGTTGAAGAGCTTAAGGATTCATTCAGCTCTAATTTCTATGCTACACTGAATTCAAGAGTGAAGCTCATGGCAATGATATAGCTAACTGGGAACCTGCTAGCTAAGGCCTGTTAAATGACAAATGTAATTGTTCTGATTATTTACACATCACATTTCTGTGACAAGAGGGTTTGGATGGTTCTATTATTGTGCCTTGCCACTTCCTCAGTACCAATATAATGGGCTATGCTAGCCTCATACTAATGATGAGGGGAAAAAATCAAATTCTCTCTGTTTCCACCAAAAGGAGGAAATAGGAAAAGGAAAAAAACAGAATGTGCCACTTGTTAAAGA